ATGAGTGTTTTGCCTGCATGTATGTATGCGCACTGCATGTGTGTCTGCTGCCCTCAAAAGCCAGAAGAGGATACCGGATCCCCTACCATCTTTAGGTTGTAAGCCACTGTGGTGGTTTGAATGAAAATGTCCCCCATAGGCTCTAAGTATTTAGAGATTTTGTCCCCAGTTGGTGGCACTGTTTTGGGGAGGTCTTAGAAGGTGTGGTCTTGCTGGAGGAAACACATCACTGGGGGCAGGCTTAGAGAGTTCTTAAGCCTGCTGGATCCCCAGTTGTGTTCTGCTTCCTGAGCCTGCTTAATCTTTATATATCATACCTCATCTGACCTCAACCACTCTGAATTTGGATAATTATAATTTTTGGTAAGTTAACATTTTGACTTTCTGCATGGCATCTTCTGGCTTGCCAAGGTACTCAGTTGAAGCATTACCATCTTTTTCTGTGCATCAGACTGTGTGGGGTTTTTTTACTTTATTTTTAACTGTAAAAAAATACTGTATTTTTATTTTATGTGTATGAGTGTATTACCTGCATGTATGTAAGTGAACCCATGTCCTGCAATGCCTGTGGAGGTCAGAAAAGGGCATTGGATTCCCTGAAACTGAAGTTATGGATGGTTGTTAGCCACCATGTGGGTGCTGGGAGCCAAATTGGGATCCTCTGCAAAAGCAGCCATTGCTCTTAACTGCTGAGCCGTCTCTTCAGCTCCTTAACTTTTAATTGTGTGTGTGTGTGTGTGTGTGTGTGTGTGTGTGTGTGTGAGAGAGCACTTGAGTGTAGTGCCCATCTAGTCCACAGCATTGAATCCTCTAGAGCTGGGGTTATAGGTGGTTGTTGTCACCTGACATGGGTTGCTGGAAACCAACCTCAGGTCCTCTGCAAGAACAGTATGCACTTTTAACCACTGTGCTGTCTCTCACTAACCCATAGTGCTATTATTTGAACATTTTGTTTTATTTCCCCTGAGTTTGCTATAAAAAGACAATAAATAAATAAACCAAGTGGTTTTTGTTTGTGTTTTGTTTGGTTGGTTGGTTGGTTTTTTTATGAGACAGGGTCTCACTATGTAGCCCTGCCTGGCCTGGAACTCAGTATGTAGACCAGCCTGGCCTCAAACGCAATATCATTTAGATTTCAAAAGAGTGTAAATCTTTCTCCTCAACCCAGTGTTTATTGGCCCAAGGTGCAATAGTTAAGACATGAACATGAAGGAGAAATACATTAAAGATAATAGACAAGAACATAGACATTTGTGGGAATAAGTAATCTCACATTGTCTAAGTCGGAAATGGACTCTGGGCCAAAATGGTGCCAAAAATAACATAAAAACTAATAATCTGGCGCTGAAGAGATGGCTCAGCAGTTAAGAACACAGACTATTCTTGCAGAAGACCCAGGTTTGAATCCCAGCACCCACATGGCAGCTAACAACTGTCCATAACTCCAGTTCCAGGGGATCCGACAGCCTCTTCTGTCCTCCGTTGGGCATTGCACAACACAGGTGCACTTACCTACATTCAAGCAATAACACTCATACACATAAAATAAAAATAATAAATAAAATATTTTTAAAAAAACTAATAATCTTAGCCAAACTGGGTAAATGACACAGCAGCTCTGGCACATTCTACTAGGTGCTCTTCTCTAAGTGTGCTAGTGACTTGCCTCTAAGTGTTGTGTATCCAGAAGAAATTCTGTAGTCAAGCCTCTGTCACTGAGAAAACTGAAAACAGCCCAACAGAAACAGAAAAAAACCACTTATTATTTTTGAGTCTAGTTCCTCTCAACCTACATCTCCGTGAAGTACCCTGAAGTCTCTTTTCCTTCATCTGCTCCCATCATCCAATCCAGGGTCCTCCTGGCATGCTGCAGCCCCAGTATACTCATAATTAGTCTCTCCACATTCACACTTGCCTTCTGGGCAGTCCGTTCTTCACACCACAGCCAGAATGGTCTTTTGAAATACCAGGAATAGACTGGCAAGACAACTTAGCAAGTCAAGTCATGTGCTGCCAAGCCTGATAACTTGAGTTAGATCCCTGGGACCCACTTGGTAGAAGGTAAGAACTTATTCCCACTAGTCATCCTCTGACCTATGCACATGCATATACAGACAAAATAAAATATAAAATATATATATATATAAATAAAATTTAAAATACCAGATCTGATCATGTTAACTCACCTCTGAATCAAACCCTTCATTAACACTACACTGCTCACATAGTGGCTATAGTCTTAATGAGGCCACCACAGTTTTCACCATGCTTTCCTGGCCTGTCCTCCATCTCCTGCCCTTCCAAACACCATGACAGCTGCCTAGAATGAATGCTTCCCCCAGTGTCACAGGTAATTCTCCATCCTGAGATCTCAGATCCAGATCATGTACCAGTCTCTACTCTCATGACACTGTGTACTGTTTCCTTCCTATGTGGCACTTGTGACCAGTGTAAAGTCATCCATTTGTATGATTATTTAATTAGTCTGTTTCCTCCACTAAACAGTAAGCCCCAATTGTGCCATAATCAATCCACTTCATTCACGCTATATTGCCAGCAAAGTAAATTCCCAATAAGTATTTGTTGACTATTCTCATTTGCTCCATTGGCAACCTAGCCTAGAAAACTAGATTTCATGAAGAACTTGTTTATATTTAAAGATAGAGAGCTGTGAATATTTTTATGTGTATGTGTGTATATATTTGTATATAAGTACAGGTGCTCACAAAGGCCAGAAGAGGATGTCTGATCCCTTGGAGCTGCAGTTACAGATGGTTGTGAGCACTTAATTTAACATGCGTCCTGGGAACCAAACTCAGGTTCTCTGAAAGAGCAGCAAGTGCTCTTAACTGCTAAGTCATCTCTCTAGTCCCCCCTGCCAAATTTTAATTTTCATTTGTAGATTTAGTATGCCTATCATATTAATAAAATTCTCCTTCAGGAAAATATTATCTTTTGGGTTTAGAGCAGCCTTTCATTTGTTTCTCTTGAATCTTCAGAATTTCATAAGATAGAAATCTTAGAAAATAGTAAGATCTAGCAGTATATATTTTCTGTTTAATTTGATGACTGTTATGTTACATATATACTGTTCAATGTGTTTTTAGATTACTTACTGAATATTGTTTTCACTTGAGAAGCATGTAGCCACAGTATACATTTTTTAGAAGGAAAGTTCCACCAAAAAAAAAAAAACAAAAAAACCACCATAGATTATACTGCCAAATTCAATTTCTTTTACCATTTTATTGTGTTCTTTTGGTCCCCCCCCCCAACTTTTTTTTCATTTTTGCAAGTGCTAGGGATTAAATCCAGGGCCTTGTGTATACCAAGCAATCATACTACCACTGACCTGCATTCTCAGACCTCTTTTTGGTCTTTTTATGTGCATTGTTTATATTACCATAAACATAATGTATAGGAAAATTTATAGTCTGCTTTTTTCTCCTGTAAATGTCTTATTGTTGATTGACTGAAGTATTGTGCTAGGGCTGAAGAGATGGCTCAGCAGTTAAGTATACTACTCTTATAGAAGACCTGGATTCAGTTTCCAACACCCTCATCAGGTGGCTCACAATGAGAGATGAGCCTTCATCATTCTGCTTAATGCATTAAGCACTTATGAAGAAACACACTGTTGGACTCCATTCTGTATGCCTTACACCATTCAGGACAAAGGCAAATTTGGTTCCTTGACAATATAGTAATAGAATGGCACAGTTATGAAGCTCCTGGCACTGCCTGGATATATCTTCTAGTATCTCCTCTCCCTACTAGAAGAAGTAAACAAGACTTGTCTTTATTTACCTACTGTTTTCTTTCTTTGATTATTCAGTAAGTTGATTAATCACTACATCCTGGAGATGCAACAGTGAATGAAGTTCCCTGTCTTCCAGTGGGAGAAGACAGACCAATAAGAATGAATAAGTGAATAAGGGAGGGAAGGAGGGAGGGAGGGATGGATGGATGGATGGATGGATGGATGGATGGATGGATGGACGAATGGATGATTCAGGTGATAAGTTGAATTTTTTTATTAATGGCAAGAGTGATAATAAAGGCACAGGGATAGGGCTGCTCCTCTCCAAGATGGAGAAGGCCTCTCTGGGTGGTAACATTGGAACAGAGACCTAAATGGAGTGAGGAGAGACCTATGAAGCTGTCAGGGAGAGGATTTGATTTGTCAGAGGGATCATTAGGTACCAAAACCCTGAGGTTAGACTATGCTTTGTGATTTTAAGACATAGTGAAGAGCTAGAGTAAGGGGTGGCTGTAAACCAAGGTCACTGAACTAGTAGGCAGATGGCCAGTGGTAACTGGGGGTCTTAGTAGCTAGGTGAAGCCTCTAGCTTTTCCTGTTAAAGATAAGAAGCAGTAGATAGTATTCAGTGTAGCCTCTCTTGTTAGGACTGTAGCACCCTTCACCTTTTCTGCTACTCCTAAGACCCAGTGATTCCTCCTTTGTCACCCACAGGACAAATAACCTTGTTTCAGAGCTGAAGACGCAAGCAAGATATACTCATAATGCAAAACACACAAAGCACATTAATGAGCAGGCAGAAAATGGGTTTGCCCTGTGGTATCACAGTCAGAATCTGTAATCCCTGTTCCAAGGAGCCAGGCACTGTCCAAGCATTTAAAAAATAGTATAACTTTGATGTCTCATCTGTTCTTTATCCGTTGCTTATTTGAGGAAATTGTTCTCTAAAAAGAATGGCCAAATATATTTTCAAATAATACATAACATTTCACCTAATAAGGCATCCTGTTAGTCTATAGTTATTAAGCAGTCTAAAAACTAGCCTTATGTTTTATGTTTTATTTTTGTTTGGTTTGAAGGGGAAGGCTAATTATAATCTTCCTCAAATTGCTTTATGGTCAGATCTGTCACATGTGGGACTTAGATCCCATTTGTAGGCTTAAAGCGCTTAACTTCTGAAAGAACAAGTTGTTACAGGTATTCCATTAACTGATTTCTTTTGTTTTCCTTCTTGTTGTAGGAAGAAAATCACAGCTTTCCCAGATTGGGAGAAAAAATATGGAATGTATTTTACTGCTGACTGAACACAACCAAATGAACTGTATTGACAGTAGTTTAAAAACCAGTAGTTAGCAGTTTGTTCAGGCTTCAACATTGTTCAGCACTTTCCAGAACAAACACTGTTTACAAGAACTCTCGGCCTTACGAAGTTAACAACCTCAAGCTTTGTTTATTTAAAGTATTTCTGTGAAAGAAAAGTATCCAGAGCCCATTTTCCAGAATGGCCATGGATGGGTATTTGTGGATGGTCATTTTGGGTTTTATTATTGCTTTCATCCTAGCATTTTCTGTTGGTGCAAACGATGTTGCCAACTCCTTTGGTACTGCGGTAGGCTCTGGAGTGGTGACCTTGAGGCAGGCATGCATTCTGGCTTCAATATTTGAAACCACTGGCTCTGTGTTACTGGGAGCCAAAGTAGGAGAGACTATCCGGAAAGGCATCATTGATGTGAATCTCTACAATGAGACTGTAGAGACCCTCATGGCTGGGGAAGTGAGTGCAATGGTTGGTGAGTAGCTCTACACAAAGGGAGTATATCCACCTGTCTGTTACCTGCTACCCTTACCATTGCTGTGTGATCTTTGTTTTAACTTTTGAGAAACTTATTTAATGCTTTGTGCTTACTATGCAGTTTTTATTGTCTGTACTTTATGATTTTTAAAGTGTTTTAATTCAAGTAGGCATTCATTTTCTTACATTTTCAGCAATTTGGGTGGTTAAAATAGACTTTGGCCTCTGGATACTATATGTAGAATTGTGCTTTATTATTTTAGAGTTATGTAAAAGTTATTAAAGAATGTATTTCATGGGGCTGGAGAGATTACTCAGTGGTTAAGAACATTGGCTGTTCTTCCAGAAGATATAGGTTCAAATCCCAGCACTAACTGGCAGCTGTCTGTAACTCCAGTTCCAGGGGATCCAGTAGCCTCTTCTGTCCTCCTCGGGCCTTGCATGACACAGGTGTACTTTCATACATGCAGGCAATACATGCGTACACATAAAATAAAAATAAATAAAATATTTTTTAAAGAATATATCTCAATAAATGTGTTTTAAATTTATAGCTATGAAATTTCCTTGAAAGTTGATTTATGTTTTTTCCTAAAGATTTTTCATCAGTTAGGCTACAGTGTTTCAAAAATATGGATGTCATAAAATAATATTTAGGCACTTGAATGTGCCTCAGGGGTAGAGTACTTGCCTAGCATGTATGAGGCCCTGAATATAATCCCTAGCAACCACAAAAAAATAATGATAATATATTTGGGGAGCTGAGGTTATGGCTCAGTGGCAGAATTGGTGCTTTGCATGCACAGAGTTCTGGGTTCAATCTCCAGGACATAGAAAAAAATTATTAATTTAACTTTTCCTAGTTTAGATAAAGTCAGTATAGCTGGTCTGGTTTCCAGTTTTCCCATCCTTGGCCTTTGACTGTTTATTGAAACAGTGAAGGATTTTTACCTCAACTAGAATTTGGGTTTGCCAAGGCAATTTGAGGTTTTGTCTGAGTAACATGATTGCTTTGGTTTCTTTCTTCTCTGGGTTTTTTGTTTGATTTGGTTTTTTTGTTGTTGTTTGTTGATGGTGGCTTTTTATTTTTAAAATGTGTGGTTAGATGAATTTCAAAGCCTGTTTTATTGGGAATTCCTTACAAATAGAAGCCATGTGAATTAAGATGATGGTATCATTATTACCGACCAAAACCCAGGCTAATTCTGTTCAGATTCCTGAGTCTTCATGTCCACCTCCCCCCACCTAAACTTCCTGAACAAGTTTATCTCTTGAGACCCTTGCTCAGCCTGTCAACCCACTTTGTATGAGGCCACCAGTGTTCCCCAAAGCCTACTGAGAATTCTAATTTAGGCATCTCCTCATGGAAGTACCCACACTAACTGAAAGTAGTCATTTCTTCAAGCCCCTATAAGAAGTGCACAATCCACCTAAAGGTCTTTTATACAAAGAACTGCCAAGCCCTTCCAGCCCTCCTTACCTCTCACCTCCTCTCCTCATTCTACACCCTCCCCTGGCCCACACCTGCCTGTCACTCCCCATTGTTTGCCCTGAGTTAATCTTTCCAAGCACCTGTCACCTCCGGGATGCCTGTCTCCCATTTTCCCTAGGTTTCACCTGACATCTCTGTCCCACTCTTCATCCCTTTCCTCTTTGCAGGATGTCATTCCCTTACGTGAGAATATCTTTTTCCAGTTTTCTTCTTAATATTCCTGTAATCCCATATCCCTTCAGCAACTCCTGAGGGTGAGATAGCTGTTGCCCATTGCCTGGCCCCTGTGCAGACATGCCCTCCACCCTCCTCAAACCCCTATCAGCTGCCGCTTTACTCTGTCTCCCTACCCTTTATTCCTTTTCCCCGTAATTCCCACCTTTCCTTATAAACTCTGACAGGGCATAATTGACAAAATCAGCAAGAAAAATAATGGCAGCTTTCAGGAAAGAAAATGCAATCTGAATGTGACAGGGTGAGTCTCGACCATCCTCCTACATTGCTAGATTAACTTGTTAAGAATATTATGTAGCATGGGGCTGGAGAGATGGCTCAGGGGTTAAGAACACTGGCTGTTCTTACAGAAGACCCGAGTTCAAATCTCAGCACCCACATGGCAGCTAACAACTGTCTGTAACTCCAGTCCCAGGGGATCTGACAGCCTCTTCTGACCTCTTGTGGGCATTGCATGACACAGGCACACTTACATGCAGGCAATACACGCATACACATAAAATAAAAATAATAAATTTAAAAAAATTTTAAGAATATTATGTAGCCACAAAGTTTGTTTTTCTGCATTACAGTTCTGGGCTAGGAAACATACGCCTAACTCTGGCTTTATGTCTAAGGCTGCCAGTTGCTGCTGACCCAGGGCACAGAGATGAGGCCTAAGGAACTGTCCAGGGGAAGTAAGGTGCTTCCATGGGGCCTGCCACCATTTGGTGACACAAGGCTGGTACTTTCTTCACTTAATACGTAATTTCAAGATACACATGGGACCACAGCCAATCTCAGCTCAGAGGTCATCATGCACAGCCCACACTGCAGCAGCTATCCACTTTGTCTCATAAACTGGGACCTGTGTGGCCACAGATTATCCTTCTACAGCTCAGCTATCTTTGAAGGAAAAGTCAGGGGTTTGCTTAAAGATACTGCTGCTGCCAGGCAACCTGATTTCCAGAATTAACCTTTGGGATTAGTAGTGTTCCAGTTTATCAACCTAGCCCTTTTGTCCCTGTATAGTTCTGTATGAGCTTTTCAGCAACTGGTTCTGAAAGTGATCTTTCCTAGGTGGTGCTTTTAATACCTCTGCAAATTCTGATCTGCTTATAAAAATATCTGAAGTGACCTATAGCCTAGTAAAACATCAAGCCTAGAAAAGAATGGAAGAGTGGAGGTAAAAGAACATAAAACCAAACTCAGAGCTTCCAGTATTGCAAGCAAGATCTGAGAACACATGCCCAACTTTAGGCTAAATGTCTCTTATTTTTTTCACATGAGAGACAAAAATAAAAGGGAAATACAGCATGTTGCTTTCTTTATATAGACTAATGTGATGTAGCCAATCTCTAGCCTTCCTCATTATGTGACTACAAAACAGAACAAGATTTTTCTCCCAATATATTGCCTTTGTAAAATCTTACTATGTGCAGTTTCTTTAATTTCTTGCTTGGTGTGGCCAGACTTCACACCAGAACAACTCATTATGGACATCCTCAACCTCATGTGGCAAATCCATCACTGATACTTCAAACCCTGACTTTGAATACAGAATCATCATCCCTTCTGTATTGAGAAGGAAAGATCCTCCATCAAGCTAGTGAGATGATTTTTGTCAGGACTTTAGCACTTTGTAAGAAAACAACCCATAGAAAATTAAACTCAAGAAAATGATGCTATGGAGAACAGTTTAGAGTCCCTCTCCATGCCAGGTATCTAAGAGTGTATTATGTATCTGATTTTTTAAATCGATCTTTCTATCTATAGGTTCAGCTGTTTGGCAGTTGATTGCATCCTTCCTGAGACTTCCAATCTCAGGGACTCACTGCATTGTTGGCTCCACTATAGGATTCTCACTTGTGGCAATTGGCACAAAAGGGGTGCAGTGGATGGAGCTTGTCAAGATTGGTAATTGCCATTTTCTTTTACCTTTAGGAAGGAAAGTTTACCTTTTCTAGAGTAAGTTTTATTAAAAGTTGCTTTTATAATATGTTTTTTCCCTTCAAATGTTAAAGTTTAGAAGACCTATATTATATAGGTAATACATTTGTCTTCAGTATTTCTGTTAATAGTGAGTGTGTAGAGTTATACATTGGGTTTTAACGCCGTGCTTTTGAAATATTGCTTCATCATCTAGCTTTAAAAATCAATATCTTATTTGTTCTTTCCAAGCAGAAGAGAAATTCATTTCACTGAAAGCAGCATATAAATCGAAAAAAGGCTAGGACTAGATGTAGGTGAGGAAAAAGCCCTAAAAGTTTTATGGACATGAGGAAGCCTCAGAATGAAGTCAGTGTTGTTTACTTTGCTGAGTCAAGAGCCACAGTAGTGTTCCTTCCAGGTTGCAGGCCTGCACCGAGCCCCAGAGGTCCAACAGCTACTCCCTGCATTTAGCAAGTGATAAATCCTCTTAGCCTCATCTATACCAGTCCACTCAGAATAAAAAGTACTCTTTAACCCGTCCTGTGTATTGCTTTTTATTTCCCAGAGTCATAAGAGGCTCAGGAGCCAAAGGTCATAATGGATCCCTGGCCTGCCAGTCAGGGTACAGACTAGCAGGAAAATCACCTTATGCCCCAAGATTCTGGAACAGCAGTTCTTACCTCTAGCAGCACATTAGAACTACCTGAGGGAGCAAGTTAAAAACATCCATGCCCAAACCTCATTTCAAACCTTCAGAATTATTGGGGTAAAGCTAGAGCATCACTGGACTTTGAAAACTCCCAGGTGGTTTTAAGGTATAGCGAGAACTGAGACTCATTAGGCTAGAGGCTAACATTAGAGAGTTCTAGTCATTAGATATTGAGAATGAAGGTACCAACCTAGATGTAGCAAAGCAAACAGAAGATGACCCATGTTTCATAGAACCTTTACTGTTGGAAAAACAGTCGCCACCGGTATTGAAAAGAGCAAGTAAGGGGCTCACAGAGAATCAAACGAATCTGTATGATAAGGCTAGAGTTTTGGGGAATGGATACTTCACTAGCTTGGCAGCATAGCCAGTTATATGTACCATGTTTATGTCTGGGAGCAGCTACACATGAGTAAAGTCAAGAGGACTGGCTGAGCACTGAGGTACAGTGGACGGTTCTGGTAATATGTGTTAATATATGTAATATATTGCTTATTATTGTATTGTATTGTATAAATATGAATATGTGCATGAATCTTAACATTGAATTTTCTTAATCATTCAGTTGCTTCTTGGTTTATATCTCCACTTCTGTCTGGTTTCATGTCTGGTGTGCTGTTTGTACTGATCAGAATGTTCATCTTACAAAAGGTAAGTAAGGATGCTAATTTTTAGATTAATTTTAGAACTAATTTTGGTTCTACTCAATAGACACTAGTAGCAAGAGGTTAGTGGGAGAATTTTGTTTCCATCACTAGGTACAGTACCTGGAGTTTGAGTCAGAGATTATTATAGGTAGCCAGAAGAAGCCTCAGTGAAAGGCCTCACTACTACAGAGCCCAGCATCATTAATTCCTGTTCTATGACTTGGTTCATTAGTCAGCACTCCTAGAAACAGGACTCAGACCTTGAAAATAGAAGGCACCTATTTCCTGGTTGTTAAGCAGACTAGAATAAGATGGTGTAATCTTACCCAAATGTAAAGTTGCTTTCCTGTTTGTAATGGAGAAAGCAAGCTTGAAGCGCTGGCTTGACTTGAGGGAAGGATAAAAAGGAAACATCCACTCTGTCTAAAAACAGCACAGTGTTATGTTTGGATGCGTGTACACAATGCATAACGATCAAAGCAGGTTTTCCATTACCTCCAAGATTATCGTTTCTATCTACTTGGAACCTTCAGACTTTCGACTCTATAGACTCATAGACTATAGTTACTCTGTTGTGCTGTATAACATTAGAAGCGTGCATTAGCATCCTATCACTGTGGCAAAATCCTGAAATCAACGACTTACAATGAAGAAAGTGATTTTGGCTGAGGATTTCCAAGGTTTCAGCTCATGGTTCTATGTCTCTCTTGCTTTGGCCCAATTGTGGCACAGTATTCATAGAGGGAGCATGTGCAGAGGAGCCCTAATCACCTGGGGTCCTTGGCTTACATCTCCACTTCTATCTGGCTTCAGAGATATTCTTCCCATAGCTTGACTTTGTTCTACTAGACTCACCTCTGAGAAGCTCCTCCATCATCTGTTAGTGCCATGGACTAGGGTGGTAAGCCTTCAGCAAATGGAACTTTAGGAGCATTCAAGATCCAAGCTGCAGGAAACTGCTGCCCTATCTCACTATGTTTTTGTAGCCGTTACCCATACTCACATTGTTCATTCTTCCTTTCTCCCCTTTCTACTGTACTGACCTTCATTCTACTCTGCTTTCATGTGATAAACTTTTTTACTCTACAGACAAATAAGAACATGTGGTACTTTTCTCCCTGTGCCCAGCTCATTTCACTTTACATAGCGTCCTCTGGTTCTATCCATGTTGCTGCCAAATGGCAGAATTTTATCCTTTTATGGCTGATTAATATTCTATATATTTAAAAAATTTTATTATTATGTTTATTTTATGTGTACAAGTGTATTGCCTGCATGTATGCAAGTGCACCCGTGTCATGCAATGCCGCGGAGGTCAGAAGAGGACTTTGGATTCCCCTGGAACTGGAGTTAAGGACAGTTCGTAGTTGCCATGTGCGTGCTGGGACTTGAACCCGGGTCCTCTGCAAGAGCAGTCAGTACTCTTAACCGCTAAGCCAACTCTCCAGCCCCAATATTCTCTGTTTTATAATATGTCACTTTTTAAATTTTTTTATTTGTCTTTGAATATCTTGATTGACCTGTTGCAACACTTTCTAAGCTATCAACTACCATTTTAAACTTTATGTATTATTATTATGTGTATATATGTGTGGTGGTGGTGGCACACATGTATACACGTTTTGAGGTCCAAGGACAACTTTGTGGAGTTGGTTCTCTCCTTCTACGTTTATGTGGGTTTTGGGAATTAAACTCAAGTTGTCAGGCTTGCACAGCAAGCACATTTACACACTGAGCCATTTCTGCAGCCCCTGACGCCTACTTTCAGTGGTGTGTTACACACTGGCCCCTAGTCACACTTCTGCTTTTTGCTGTTTCAGTTGTACCAGCTATGGTCTAAAAATATTAAGCAGAAAATTTGACAAATAAAAAATATATGTTTTATATTGCGTGTCACTTGAGTAATGTAATGACATCTCACCCCATCTGGTGCCCAGCCCAGGATGTGACTCATCCCTTTATCCATCATATCAATCTCTTGTTAGCCATCTTAGTTATTTTAGTATTCCTGTTCAGGAAATTCTTAAGTGAAAGTCTAATGTTATACCACTCACCTCGTTTCATCTCGTCATGTAGGCACTGTATTGTCCCACATCATCATTAGAGGAAGAAGGGGATGCGTGACAAATAAGGACTTTGAAAGAAAAAGGTCACATTCAGATAACTTTAATTACAATATATTATCATAATTGTCTTATTATACATTATTATTAATCTCTTACTGTGCCTAATTGTACATCTATCATGGGTATGTATGTGTAGGGAAATTATAGTATATAGGATTGGGCGTTATTTACAGTTTCAGGCATCTCCTGGGGAGCCTCGTATTCCACATGAACCAGACAGAGGAGTTGCTCTAGCCTGTGCTTATTTGATACATTAAGGATGTGCTTTCCTTTAGCTATGTGTTGCTTAAAAATACAGCTCTTTTTTTCTTAGCATTCATTACCTAATAACTCGTTGAAGGGTTCATTCTCTTGAATAAGCACAAAGTCCCTATCATATGTCTCACCATTCTTTCACTGGGTTCCAACTGGCCACACTGAAGTTGGCCGCTGGACTTCACCTTATTGTTGTCTCTACCTAGATTCCATCGTTACCTGGAATGCTCCTGTTCAACTTCCTGGTGTCATTTCCTGGGGTGCCTTTCCTGTTTCAGAGCTGGCAGTTCCTTTTTTCCTACTCTGAAGCACTCTACTTTTCATTTTGCACTTGGTGTTTTATGTGTATTTTATCTGTTTCCTGCCCTGCTTGCCGTGTAACTGTATGATCTGTGAGGGTAGAAATGATTGTCTTGGTTACTTTGAATTCCAGCACCTTCCCATGTACTTATCACAGTAAATATAATTGTTAAATATTTGTTAAGCGGAAGTGATACCACTGGGAATTCCTTGGCAGAGCTGGACTCTTAATTCTGGAGGTCATTAGGGTCTCTGGTCAGGTGAAAGGAAGAACTCCAAATCCCTGGCCTTTGATATCTCCCTCCCTCCCTCCTCTCTCCCTCCCTTCTCCCTCCCTCCCTTTCTCTCCCTCCCTCCCTCTCTCCCTTCCTCCCTCCCTCCCTCCTTCCCCCTCCCATGCAATTAAGCAGAATGCAGGACCTGGGGAAAACCCATTTCTTATATCATAGTCATGGAAAGCCGTGGGCCAAATTAAATTCACACTACCCAGAAGTTTCATTCAAGGAAATCAGAAACAGATCTGTTGGACAGTGAACAAAATGAACTCAGGCCTAAGCAATGGATTTGTGAAGAATATGAGAAGGAAAAAACAAATATCTATTTAGGAAAAGAGAGATAAGGTTTAAGAATAAAAAGATTGTTTTTAAATGATTATCTCTTCTTGTGTGTTTGAGAATTTCTACAAATTATGCTGCAAAGGAACTGTGATGTCAATACTTCCCACCACAGCCCCACTGCCCTAGCCCTCTGGAAATTGCCCCATTGCCCAACTTCAAGGCAAAGTGCTCAGTTTTTCTGAAAACATGGACCACACCCTGAGCCAGCTGTTATCACTACCACCTGCCTTGCTCACTGCATTTTTAAACCATCCTATTCCTAGTCTCTCAAATAGATACTCTGTATCATTTTCAACCAGTAGAAAACCTGTGAGGAAGAAAAAAAAGAATGATGGTTGCTTGGCTGATTTGTTGATGAATGGATGGGTCGGAAGGAGGAAGAGAGAAAACAGGAAGGAGAAAGGAGACATATCTCGATGTCTTGGGTCTGTCCATCTTCAGAATTTACTGACAGGAGTCTTTAAACAGCCATTGTCCCCAAGAAAATAATGCTCTAGAACCCAGTAGCAGCAGCACCGAGTTACGCCCCCACTGTCTTGTCCGTTCCATTGGGGCTCTTTTCACGTGGCATGCTGCCTTCTTGTGTCGCCATTGGCTCCAGCTCATTCGTTCACCTTAGTATCTGCCTCTCATGGCTCCTCTGCCAGGTTTGACTGTAGCGCTCATATAGTAGAAACCCTTTCTGTCCCTCTTTTTTACATTCCTTATGCTTCACTACCATTTAACACAAGCATCATGACTAGTACCAGTGGTAAGCTGCTCTATTCTACAAGCATCCTTCATTTGTGCCTATGTTTACATTTCTCTGAGGTAGTTTTTCCTTTCTATACCACCGAGCTCATTTCAGTGTTTAACCTAATTTTCTTTTGCTCTTGATAGGTGGCACATTCATATAAATGCATCAGTGTATCGTGTGTTTTTTAGAAATCAAACCCTTTTTGAAATATTTAAATAGAGATTGTACTAGTGCTGCTTTGTTGAGTTCGAGCCCATGTTATTACTTCAACATTTTTCTATAGATCTGCTTAAAATAGCATTCCTAGGAGCTGGAGTAGTGGCTCAGCGGTTAAGTGCCCTAAGTGCTCCTGCAGAGGACCTTCATTCCAGCAATAAGGTGGCTCACAACTGTCTGTTACTCCAGATGCCCACACCTAGCCTTCCCAGGCACTGCATGCATATATACATGCAGGCAAACACCCATACACTTAAAAATAAATGTCTTTATGAAAAATAGTATTCCTAATACCTTCTCAGATGTGGGTTTGTCTCAAACATACGCCATGCCTTTCTTGTGTATGTATTATATTGAGAGAATATCATAGCCAAAGCCTGAGCAAGTACACATTCCGTTATACAAAGAACCACAATTCTTATTATACCTTATTAAGAGATTTTGAAAATCACAGCACTTGGAAAATATTTGCTGTATTTTTTTTATTTATTATTATTATCATGTATGGAGGCATACACATGCCATGGCACACATGTGGAAGTCAAAGGACAACTTTCAGAAGTCTGATCTCACAGTCTGTTCTCTACCTTTACATGGGTTCCAGGGATTAAACTTAGATCATCAGTCTTACACAGCAAGTGCTTTATCCATTGAGCCATCTTGCCAGCCCTGCTTTATGTACTTTATTGTTGCTAAAATGTGTGCTACCATAGAGTCATATAAAATCTACCAACAACGCTGTAATGGCTATCACTTGACTCTAGAATCCTCAGAGGGTAGACTCAAAATAGCTATAAAGGTAAACTTTGAGGAGCAAAGGCGATCTTAACCAGAGGAGAAGATCTATAGTTTAAGGAGCTGTTGAGCTTCAGACCTCGGGCATGGATCTCCCTAACAGTTCTCTTCTGTTTCTAAGTCTGATGTCAGTGCATGTGATTCCAGTACTTTCATGTGTCTGTTGGCTATAAACGTGGGCCCTCTGAAACCATATCTGTGTACACAAGATAGCCTTAGCCAGGCCAGTATCATGCCACTTTTTTTTTCTTTTTTGAGACAGGGTCTCCCTGTAGCTCCAGCTAGCCTGGAACTCCCTATGTAGACCACGTTGGCCTCAAACTCAGAGAGATCTGCCTACCTCTGCCTCCCAAGTGCTGGGATTAAAGGCATGCGCCACCACACCAAGCTCACGTTTCTTTTCTGTAACAATATCTTGTGTCACTCTAACTGTGTTGCCTCCAGAAGCTCTCAGTCCTGACCTTCCATCACTTTATCTCATTGTCATACAGGAGGACCCTGTTCCCAATGGTCTCCGGGCACTTCCTCTGTTTTATGCTGCTACTATAGCAATAAATGTGTTTTCCATCATGTATACCGGAGCTCCAGGTAAGACTCCCATGGAAGTTTTAATCCACAGGAAGGTATATTATAATTTAACAGTATTGATTTGCTTTGGAGGTAACATTAATGTTGACTAGTAATAAAAAGCATTGTTCCTGGTTGTTATAGAGTAATGGAAAAAATAGTAAATGTATTTCCTTGTTTTAAATACCCAAGAGATGTGTGAAGTACAAAAACAACAGACTTTCAAGTTAAAGATAAATAATGAAATCCCGCTCTGCCGTTATGTAGCTGTTTGTCCTTGTAGCTGACTGAAACTTTGAGTCTCAGAACAAGATCCAATAGCATGTACCCCCTGAGCCATGGAGGATCAGGAGGGGCAAGGGGTAACATACCTGTTATCTAGTGGTCTGGGCTGGGGAAGGCAGGTCAGAAGTGGTCTATAGCTGCAAAGACAGAACTCACAGGACATTATCATACCAATCACTGTAGTGACAGCAAACCAGTACTTAAACCAGTGATGATTTTTCTTTTCAGAATTACTCCTTTGGGTTTGTTTAATTTGGCTTGGCAGTGGTTTGGGGGTGGCATAGTGGCATGTACCTGTAGTCCCAGCACTCAGGAGACCAAGACCAGAAGATGGCTTGAGTTTACCAGTTCCAGGACAGCCTGGCAATCCAGCAATACTTGTCATCTCAAAAATGCAAAAGGAAAAATGTCTCTGAGCATGTTTTAGTAGAGTGGATCCTTTTTCTTTCCCTTTGTCAGGTACACCTCTTTCTGCCAGCTTCATTGTTAAAGGTGTGGACTGAGTCTGCAGATATGCTAATCTGCATTGTTTTATCAGTGTCCTTTATGGATTAAGATTGAGTTCTTGGCCATATCTGACAGAAAAGTCTGATGTATTTGAAAGGCAAAATTTCTAGTGGGTATGGTTGTACATTCATACAGTCTCAGCTCTCAGGAGGTCAAGACAAGAGGATGTGAGCTTGAGGCCAACCCGTGCTACATAACAAAATACTTTCTAAAAAAAAAAAAAAAGTGGCCAGGTGTGATGGCGCACACCTGTAGTCCTAGCACTTGGGAGGCAGAGGCAGGTGGATCTCTGTGAGTTCAAGGCCAGCCTGGTCTACATCATGAGTTCCAGGACAAGCTGGGGCTACAGGGAGACCCTGTCTCAAAAAGACAAAAAAAAAAAAGTGAAGGCCAGGCATGGTGGTACACACCTGTAGTCCCAGCACTCAGGACGCAGTGGCAGGTGGATCTCTGTGGGTTCAAGACCAGCTGGTCTACATAATGAGCTGCAGGCCAGATGGAGCTACATAGTGAGACCATGTCTAAAAAAAAAATTCTTTTTGGTCTTTTTGAGACAAGGTCTCCCTGTAACCCCAGCTGGCCTAGAACTTGCTATGTAGATCAAGCTGGCCTCAAGCTCACAGAGATCCACCTGCCTCTGCCTCCCAAGTGCTGGGTTTGAAGGTGTGTGCCACCACACCTGGCTAAAAAACCTTTTTAAGAGATCAAAATTTCTGCTAAATGACATATCACATTACAGTTAAAACTATACCCAAAATACGGGTTAGAGAAATTAGGTTATTGTTGAGCTAATGAAATTGAAGCTGCTTTTGTGATGCTGAGTCCTGGAAAAAGGAATTGGTACAGAGGATGGTCTCTTTTTGTTTCTGCATTTCTTTTTCTGCCCTCTATTCTTGCTTTTCAGTTCTTCATATATCAAAAGATAACTGTAATTTTTTACAAGAATTTGAGTCTATTTATACTTGCCTACCTTTTTCCATCTTTTATTATTGTTCTAAACTGCTTGTTTATTGCATATTTGCTAAAAGAACCATCTTACTGGTACAGTAAATTATCCTAGGGTGGTGAAACATACGACGATGTGACACTCAGGACAATGTAAATACTTCACTAGGTTGTTAGGAAAAATAGATCATATCAATTCATGGGGCTGAACTTTAGATGGAAATATCACTAAACCCCCCCCCCCCACATACACACACCTTGAAGATAGGAAATAGGCGCTCTGTATTAGTTCATATAACTAGCAAAGCTAAAGACCACAGTTTGTACTAGTCCAGGGCCCCAGGGTCTCAGTTGCATTTCAGTGATGTGTAAAATGGAGTGAGCAAATATCGTGAGTCAGAACTTTTTAGAAGTACTGACCAAGAGGTGATTAGCCACACATCTGTGGAGACTGAAGCAGGAGAATTACTTAAGCTTAGAAATTCCAGAATAACCTCAAAAAATGAAAAACAAAATTAACTAGTATTATGGCTCTCACACTGCCACATGTAAGCTCCCTGCTGAAACAGACTGTAGGACTAAAGTATTCATGTATGAGGCCCAGGGTTAAACTAGAAAGGTCTTTCCTTCTTTAGAATATTTTTAGCCAATCCATAGGAGCTTCAGAGATACAAATACAAAAATCTCTAGCAAAAATGAATGAGAGCATTAATCTTACCTAGCTTCAACATTTAAGAGATTTTTATCAATGGTGCTTTTATTCATGGAGATAGATTAAGGGGATTTCTTGGATGTTGAGTTGCCATGTTTTGTTTTGATTTCCTCCACTCTAAATTATTGTTTATAATTTTATCTGACATGACTTACCTCAAATAAAAAACATTCTTATACTTTAAAGGCTGAGTTCTCACTTTAAAAAATTGCCTTTGTTGCTGGACGTGGTGACACATGCCTTCGATCCCAGCACTTGGGAGGCAGAGGCAGGTGGATCTCTGTGAGTTCAAGTCCAGCCTGGTCCACATAGTGAGTTCTAGGGCATCTGGGGGTACAGGGAGACCTTGCCTCAAAAAGACAAAAAAAAATTGCCTTTTCAATTTTTGCCCTAAAAAATAAGATTATCAGGGACTGGAGAGATGCCTCAACAGGTAGCTTTCTGCTCCTCCAGAGGACCTGAGTTTGGTTTCCAGCACCCATGTCAGTGGTTCACAGTCACTGTAATTTCAGCTCCAGGGGATCCCCTGCCCTCTTCTGGCACCTGCACACATGTGGTGTACACTTACACAGATACATGTATACACATATATGTAATAAAAATAAATCTTAAAATATAACTAACAAGAACAAAAATAATATTAGGAAATAAAGTTCTTACTTGGTTTGGCTCTAAGCCAAACATTTAGGTTTATTTTTAATCAAAAAGATCTTCAGTTGCATATGTCTTAGTTTTTGTTCAGTATTGAGACTGTGAATGCTGAAATTCATTGCATGCCCCTTTAGCAAGCAAGGCAGATTACCTGATTAAACTTCTAGCAGTTACATACAACTTCAAAGTCAAAGTGAGGTCCATAAACCATTTGTATCAACATCACATTATAATGTCAAGAATGCAGATTCTCTAGTTCAATCCTGGGCCTCATACTTAGAAATACTTCAGCCCTGCAGTCTGTGTTTCAACAGGGGGCTCACATATGGCAGTTTAAGAGCCACAACACTAGTTAATTTTGTTTTACATTTTGAGGCTGTTCTGGAATTTCTAGGCTTAAGTGGTCCTCCTGTCCCAGCCTCCCGACTAGCTGGGACCACAGATATGTGGCTAATCATCTCTTGATTAGTACTCCTAAAAAGTTCTGACTCACGATCTTTGCCTACTTCATTTTTAAAATACTGTTTGTATGTGTGTGTCTGTGTGTATGTATAGGCACACATGTGGCACAGTGTATGTGTAGAGGTCAGAAGATAACTTTCAGGAGTTGCCTTCTACCTTGCTAAAGCTGGGTCTTATCTCTGCTGCTGCACAGCTACTTCAGGCTAGCTGGCCTGAGAGCTTCTGGCGATTCTCCTGTCTCCACCCCCTATCTCTCTGCTGTAGGCATGCTGGGATTACAGGTGCACATCCGGCTTTTTGTTTTTTTGTGCGTGAAGGGGTGGTGGGGGGTAGGGTCCAGGATGAAACTCAGCAAGTGCTTTTATATCCCCACCCTTGAGCCATCTCCCTGACCCTGCTCACTGCTTTTTATCAGCAAATGAATCATCAGATAGAACTAGACCTGGTTTCTGATTTTTCCAGAGCAAACCTGTTGCTGAAGCATAACTACCTGAGCAGCAGCTTCCTCTTCTTCCTCCTTCACCACCATCTTTTCTCCTCTTCCATCTCCTCGTCCCCCTTTACCTTTGCTTGATTCTCCTCTGTCTTCTCTCCACACTCTCTTCTCCTTTCTTCCTTGTCTCTTCCAGTTATAGCTGCTCACTAGAACCTGTCAGCCTTCAGAGGCTTTGTAAGAAGTCACTTTGCTCTCCAAGGATCTCTAGGTTCCATAGCTGACCACCGATGTAAGCTGTAGAGAAACAGAGCTGCAGCCACAGTGATGGCCAGCTCTGGGGTGAGACAGAATTGCCACCAAGGACTGAATTCAAAACAAAGTGTTTTAAATTTACTTTTTTTCCAAAATGTTTACAAATAAATCATGGTTTGAGAAAACTGGTACTATATTTTTAAAAACTCCAACTATAGAGCAAGTTAGAAAGTACCATATTTATCTCAAAAGAATGACTCATTTTCTTAAAGAAGTTTCCAGCATTCTTTTTACACACATAGCTCCTCTAATACTTTAAAGTGTCAATCTAAAATAAAACAGAACTAATAACTTGGTGTATCAGGTGAGGCAGGATAGTGAAGAGTCACCTGCAAAGCAGGTAAACTTATGCATGCATGTGTGTGTACACATTGTGTATGTGCATGCGTATGTTTGTATGTGTGTGTACACATGTTGTCACTGTGGGCTAGTGTCCACAATATATTGTTACATGACAGGTGAAAGCACAGAATAGTGCATGTTTATATGTTAAAGTAAATAGTGTATAGTTAAGTGAAAGAAAAAACAAACTTCACAATACTCAATATATATATTTAGAAAATGCCTGGAAAGATATACAGCAAAGTGCCCACCCCTTTCCCTATGAGGTGGACTCAAGAGAAAGGGTACTGAGGGTGTTCCATGTCTGTACATCATACACTTCACTTTTGTCTTGCTAATCTTATTAAAAAGCTTGCGTTGTATGCAAAATTAAAACAAAACATGGAACCTGCAGTGAATCAGTGACAAGGAAGGGTGTAGGGAAGGGCGGTGAGCAGCAGGTAGAAGTGCACTGGGCTGAGCTAAAGCTTTATTAGTTTTAATGCACTTTATTTTGTAGAGTCTAATGATGATTGTCATATGTAAACAAAACAAAAAGAAGAACTAGAACAAAGTGACAGTGGAGACAGAGTTCTTAGAAAGTTTTGTTCATTTCTTCTCTAAATGACTTGAGTATTCTTCTAGTCTTCGGGAGATTTGGAATAGAATCATAAAGATGCTTGAGGTTAGCACTAAATCACTGTTTATCGTATCTTTGTTGTTTGGAAAATGAGAGGAACATTAGATGAAAAGTCACTTAGTAGTGGGAGCAGAGAACAGATTCAGAACTCACAGTGCCGGCTCCACTTTTGGCTGAGTAAACACAAGCCATTCAAGCTGTGCCCTACTTTGTCCATTCACAGCAGGAACCAAGTATGATGACTTGTTGTCCCCTGAAGGTGTAATTATATGAAATAGTTCGAAAGCCTCACCAGGAAGACAGTCCAATACAAAGTATTTTTGTCACAAATTCTGTTCTATATAAAACAACCTTAAGTATCTAGAAAAAAAGAAACTACTTTGTTCTGTGTATGGACTGATTCGAGTGCTTCGCTTCTCTGTTCTTTCCCTTTTTTTTTTTTCTCTTGAGACATCTCATGAGCACACATAGCCTAGTGATGGAGTAACTTGGCATGGTTTTATGAGCTTCACTGGGATCAAGTTCATGGACAGAGCTGGAAGAGAATTGGGCTGGGCTGCTAGTTAACACAGTGTGACCTAGGGAGATACCTACCGCATCCATGACTCCCAGCTGTCCCAGAGCTTTGAAGTGGAACCATCTAAGTGTCTACACCCCACCAACCACCTGCTGGCCATAAGCAAGCCAGAGAGCTCTCCATTTTGTTTATATTTATGAGCATTAATTCTGACTCCCCATTTATGTTAGGTACTAACTCTATAACCTCATAGTTATTGAAATATTTAATGATTCTTCTTTTAAAAAAAAACTTTATTGAGAATCTCACACATGTGTATAAGGTGTTTTGATCAAACCCACGCCCACTCCCCCCTGTAACCCCCCATATACTCTTTCTTTCTTTCTTTTTTGATTTATTTTTTTATTGAGCTTTTAAAATTTCATACAATATTTCCCATCACATCCAGTTCCCCTCCCCTACCCATGCCTCCCCCCCCACACACACTAAACGCTACACCCTCTGCCATACATGCTGAGTCCTATTAATTCAGGCATTTGTACTCAAATGTCCTTCAGTGCAAATGAGTCCACTGGAGTCTAGTCAGCCCATTCAGTGGTCATATGCAAGTCATGCTCACCCTCATCCAGCAGCAGCCAGTCTCAAATAGTTCTTGATCTAGTGCTGACCCACCACCTATTTCTCACCTCCCTTTTGGGTCCTTGTTCTATTGAGCTGACATGGGTCCTGTGTTGGACACCACCACTGCCACAGGTACACACGAAGCTCATGGAACATAGTGGAATAAGGGGTATAGAGAGTGCTAATGTGCCCCTCAACTCTCACCAGTGAGGCTTCCATGTACATCAGAGTGCAATGCACACAGAAGGCCACAACTGGCCAAGTTTTGGAGAATAAGAGACTGTAGAGTGTAGGATGGGACTCCTGTATGGAAACGTACCCATCCATGGCTCAGGGACCATCACAGAAGAGGAGGCAGAAAGATTAATCTGTAAGAGCCAGAGCTGGTTCATGAACGAAGGAGGTGGAGGGTTTCCAGACCAATGGAGGCTTGCTCATGTGTGTCTTTCTTTTTTTTTTTTTCCTACTCTAACATGCCCCCATCTGAAGGGTAACCCTAAAATCTTTCAGGGATTAGATAAGAGCTCCCAAATACTTTTGATGGTTTTGGCCTTTGGAACATAGTATGTTGCTAAGAGGCCCAAAGACATTTTGACTTTTAGCCAAGAAACTGGCTACTTTTCTTTGGGGTTACCCTAACTGTCTAGCCAATTCCTACCTCCTATTCTTATCGCACCATCCTCTGAAGAGGTTACCCAAATTGCCAACAGGGAATCCAGGACGCAGACCGCTCTGGCTTCTTCAATGCTGAACAGGGACACAGGGTGAGGCAATTGGAGTACCCCTTCAGTGGGTCTGTCTAAAAGACTCCCAAATTACATAACTCTTATCTGTAGGGAGAAAAGAAAGTCCTTGACTGGTAAATAGGAGAGGTGAAGTAGAAGTAAAGGCAAGAGTAGTTAGCATTACAAGTTCTAAACAGGGAACCAGAAAAAAAGTCAGAACAGGGCAAATTTCAAATGTTCGTATCAGAGTCCATTGGGATTTCAAGAGCTTCCAAAAGCATCCCTCTATTGGGTTTCTCCTCATTTTTCTTTTGTCTACTAAGGTTCTTTAAGCTAAGAATCCTTTACCTAATTCTTTGAGCTAATTTATACAAACATGTTAAGGTTACAAAGCCTGCATCACTAAAACTTTAGATTTCAAAAGAAAAAGTACTTTAACAATTTGTAAAAGTGACATTCTTAATTATATATTTTTTAAGTTACCAGTTTTAAAATATATATGTATAATAAGAAATGAAACCACACTTGAACACACACCTGGGCTTCTGGCTTTCCATTGCTGTGTCTGACTTATACATTTTCTTAGTAATCTGTGACCCAGGTGAACATCCCTACTTGTTTCCAGGCATAACTATAAGTGAACAGTGCAGCCAGTTTCTTTCAGCTTAGTGGAAAACATTAGATCTCCCATCTCTCCAGAACTCTTTCTACATGTTCACATGTATGGCAGGAATATGGTGATGATACGTACATTACATAGCTGATTTTTCATACTTATTAGACCTTGGTCCTCTTTCCTCTCAGTACACACTGACTTGCCTCTTTTGTATGACTATATACTATAATTATTTTATATCTCCATAATGATGTGTGTATTAGTCTAAAAATTCTGATCGTTAGAAATAGTGCTGGGGCAAAATATTCTTATCCCTACATGTTAGCATGAATGTTTACGTTGTATGCCTGTGAATATTTCTGAAAGGTGTCTGTTGTCACCAGGGACAGAAAACAGATAAAATTCAGAATGCTGAGATCCAGTGACTAAAGTACTAAGGAAAGATGATGTTACTGAGCTGTGTGCACTTCTATCCTTTATTGATTAATGTAATTGCTACTCAGTGTACATTATTTGATTTTGTTGGGAGGATTTTCTCTGTGTGATCCTTTAAATTGACACTTCAAAGAAGAGTTCCATTTGAAGGGCAGTATCCTTTGAGCAAACTTTCATTTCTCTGGAATTTTTCGTTTGGCAGGTTTGGGGGTATTTTGTTTTTGTTTCTGAGTATTTTGGAGGGATTGTGTTTGTTTGCTTTTTTGATGTTTTGTTTTTTGAGACTTTGAATTCAGTGATCCTCCAACCTTCCCCTCCCCTGTACAGGGATTGCAGGCATGCACTACCATACCCAGTCCAGAGCTCTTACTTCTAAGCTGAGTTTTAAAGAGTTTCATGCATGTGATCAGGGTGCCACATCTGTCTATAGCATTGCTGCTCATTTCCTGGGAACCAGAAGGCAGCACAAATCAACTCTGTCCACTGCAGTAACTTCCTGTTGGTGAAGAGGATGTTAGGAGACTGACTACCTCTCAGTCACATTTTCCCACTTGCAATTTAGTTATGAACATAAGATGCTAAACATAATATGTATGTAAATGGCTTTATTCTCACCTTCCTAGGCCATTCAAGCCAAATTGGTAGCATTTTCCTCACAAGCACAAATTCGCAAGGCCATGGCGTGTCTTAAACACCTATCTGCCCCCAAATGCACAGCATGTTTGCTTTCATTGAGAGTTTTGTTAAATACAAAATCCAGGTGGCTTGTTTTAGCTTGGAAGAGTGGAAGATAATTGACTTTACCAATCAGTTACAACACTGCCATTCCCTTTGTTTCCAGTACTGGGTCTGGTCCTTCCGATATGGGCAATAGCCCTCATTTCCTTTGGAGTTTCTCTCCTGTTCGCCTTCTTCGTGTGGCTCTTTGTGTGTCCGTGGATGCGGAGGAAAGTAGCTGGTAAGCACTTTTTATTCTTCTGAATTACAAAACTGATTCTGATTCCTGAGCTTTTCCATGTAAACAAATATCCTCAAGAATAGAGACAAACATGGTGGTACATGCCTTTAATCATAGCACTTGAGAGGCAGAGACAGGCAAATTGCTGTGAGTTTGAGACCAGCCAGGTCTACATACTGAGTTCCAGGCCCTACATAGAGACCCTGCCATTAATTAATTAAGTAAGTAAGTAGGAATTGGAGGTGGGGATAATTCTCAGAACTGCACTGGAACACATGCCCAGGCCTCTGACTCTCCACTACTGTTTCTGGATTACTCATTTTCTTTGCAACTTGTGACCCAAGTGAACATCCCTACTTGTTTCCAAGCATAGCTGTAATTGAACAGTGCAGCCAGGTTCTGCCAGCTTGGTGGAAAACATTAGTTTTGGGGGAAATGCAAACAGATGCCGCAAAAGAGAACACTTTATGCCAACAAGAATGGCTAAAATAAACAGACCAGCAATTCCAAGTGAAATAGTTAGGACTCTTAAAGCTTGATGGTGAATTGTACAACCAGTTTGGAAATTAGCTTAGCAGTTTATTATAAAGTGAATTGTGTGTTCACAATATGGTCCAGTAATTTCATTCCTAGAAATTTAAGAGAAATGAAGATGTGAGTTTGTAAAAAAGACTCATACTCAAATCTTTTAGCTCCAAACTAGCCCAATGTTCTTCAGTAGGTGAGTAAATAACCAAATTGTTGTGCATTCTTACAGCAGAAGACAACTCAGCACTAAGGAGCATGAACTAATTCCAGGTAGATGCAGCATTGTGTTGGACAACAGCAGCCAGAAACAAAGGTGTTCAAATATTATGTGACAAAATTCATGTTTCATAAAAACATTTAAGTAATTTTCCATAAAATTGAAGAATAGGGAAAATTAACTGGTAGCAATAGAAATCACTCGTTCCTGGGATAGGGAAGTTTATAGAGACTGAAAGAGAGGAAGGAACTTTTCAGGCAGATGGGAAACAGTCTGTCTTACTGAGGAAAGATGCACTGATATGCCACAGATCAGCTACCATTTCAAATTGTATATAAACCATACCTCGATAAAAACAAATTTTTTAAAAGATGAAGAAAAATACAGTTAGTCTAGGAGTATAGGTCTGGTGGAACACTACCTAGTACACGGCCTTGACTCTGATCACAGCACCGCTTAAAACAAAAAAGAACAGAGAAAAACAAACGCTTGGAAAGTCAGCCACGGCTATTTCTTTGTTACCATCAATGTAGTTGAATTCCACACCCTGACTCCACATGAATTTATAAAAAGAGCTGAGAGAGAGAGAAAGAGAGAGTGACTGAGTGAGTAAAAGAGATTTAAGATTTAAATTCGGCTGTGGAGTGGACCTTATGGTTATGTTTCAGCTAGGTATATCCCAGTTTGAAAGAAATCTGTTTCAGAACTAGTAATGATTAATGGCCAAAATAAACAGGAAATAAACTCTGGAACTAGACTCGTAGCAAAGATGTTAGTTAATCCCAACATAATATTTTGTAGATTTAGGTAATCCGCTCTTAAAATGTGTATAGAAAAGAAGCCAGGCTTGGTGGTACACGCCTTTAATCTCAGCATTCAGGATGCAGAAGCAGGTGGATCTCTGAAATCAAGGCCAGCTTGGTCTACATAGTGAGTTCCAGGCCAGCTGGGCCTACAGGGAGACCCTGTCTCCAAAAAACCCCAAGGAATAACAAGAAACAAAGGAAGAAGAGGGAGGGAGGGATGGACGGAGGGAACAAACAGAAACTAAAATATCCAAAATAATTTTGAAAAAGTTGGAAGATTCAGACTTACTATTTTTAAGACTTGTTGTAATACTAAAAGCCAGTTTGGTATGATGAAGAGATAGACACGTAGATAAATTCCAGAAACAGACCCACACAAATATAGCAAATAGATTTCAAAAATAGTAGTTCAATGGCAAAAACATGATCCTTTCAGCAAACAGCACTGGAATAATTTAAAACCTATTATGCCCCAACAAAATCTTTGAGCCGGCATGGTGGTGTGTTTCATAATCCCAACACTCAGGAGGCAGAGCTAGAGGGCCAGAAGTTCAATGCTATCCTCAGCAGTTCAAAGCCACTTGAGCTATAGGATGCCCTATCTCAAAATCA